CCCCCCCCCCCCCCCCGCCCAGTGCTGGGATTAAAGCCGTGCATCACCACCGCCCAACAATCTGAATTTTTAGAATCAAACCCCAGCACTGAAAAAAAATAATTAAGCAGGAAGAAGAGTGCAGATGTGCAAGCCCATCCTCTTAGACTCACGCTGGCAGCACATTTGTAAAGGGTTTCCAAGCATTGCAAAATCAAGGTGCAGTTTGCTGCAGAAACAAACATGAGGATCATACTCAGGGAAGCTCCTGTGTCTTGGAAGACCCCAGAGAAGGAGAATGTTATCTTGAAAGGCTTCAGCAAAATCCATGTAGGAAACTGAAATTCAAGTCAGTTTGTGAATCCTGCTTTCATTATTTCAGAGTTCCCCATAAATTGGAAAAAAGAATCCAGTGAAATTGGTAAACTATTTCAATACTTTAATAACGCTCTGAATTTATCCAGTAGTATGACTAATTACTGTGGATGTACGATATGCAATGGTTCTTTATTCTCTCCACCATCATTAAGGCAGGGGCAGAAGTAGGGGAAAAGTTTCTCCATGAAAAGACAACTGAAGGTGTAAAGATGGGTCATGGTCGTAGCGTTATAGAAGGACACTTGCCCTCCCTCATAATCCAGGTATATGCCCACCCTGTTGAGCTCACCCAGTTGCAGACTACAAGAAGGCAAATCCAGAGCCTTTAGATCAGTTTGGTTCCTTAGTCTTAAAAGCCAGAATCCTTGCTCAGGAGTCAGAGAGCAGCTCCCTTTCCGAATGATGGACTCCTTGACGACTCCAACTGTCCATTTTGGCTTCTTTCCTACTTCCACTTCCCAGTACCACTTTCCAGAGGTGAAGCCTTTTGAGCCCAGCACAGCCACACTGGAATCAAACCTCTCTGGCTCATCAGGCACTACCTGCTTCACATCACCGTGACACACACTGGTCCAGCTTTTGGATAGCACCAGATTTGGATGAGCTGTTTTAGGATCCAGAGTTATTTGAGACAGGCCTAGTAAGAAAATGAGATAGCAGGAAAGGAGGTGAATGCCATTTTCCATAGTAAGAAATAATACTAACATAGATACTGTGTTTTCATCCCAATATGCAGAAACCTTAGTCAGAAAGTTTCCCATATACTTTCTATTGCTTGATATCCGTGTTGCTATGTGTAGACCTTTTTATATTTGGGATATAGCCAGACTTTGCTCTGAATTAATTTATGTTCTACTGAAGGAAACAATACAAATAACGTAAATCTTGACTAATGCCAAGAGGTAAAATTAGG